CCTCGCTGTGGTGTCCTCTGACCGTGCCTTCCTCTGTCCCTGCCAGCGCTGGCCCTCGGTTACCTCATTTATTCCTGGGGGACGCAGGAGTTCGAGCGGCTCAAGAGGAAGAACCCGGCTGACTACCAGCACGACCAGTGACCAGGAGCAGTGACCAGCGACCACGAGCAGAGCTCCCCGGGGACCTGCTGTGCTCGTTCCCATGGCCGGAGGGGATTAACTGGGAGATAAGCCTTGGCTAATAAACTGTAACTTTGTCCCATGACTCTGTGTGAAATGCGTGTCTTGAGCTGTTTGAGGTGAGAAGCATTAAATCCCTTGTCTGGTTCTCTCTGTACAGGCAGATAATCAGGCTGAAGTTCCATGTGCTCGGATGTTTTATCTTAGAGCACTTCCAGCTTTCGTAATTCCTGTTTCTTTGAAATATTCCTCAGTATAAAGTGCAGCAATGGCTGGTTTGAAATTGTTCCTTGTCCCCTTTATTTTTCCCATCACTGGCCGCTGCTTCTCTCCAGCCTTGAGGTGTGTGAAAAACAAACAGTGCCTAGTTTGGTATTGATTAAAGCTGGATGGGCTGGCTGGTGGCTTGGGATTTGGGGTGGACCCTGACCTCTGGCTGGAGGCTCGCTCTTCACGGGAGCCCCGGGCAGAAGATGAAGGGGAACAGGTACAGGCTGCACCAGGAGAGGTTTAATCTCTGTGTAACAAAGGAATTTTTTCCAGTGAGAACAATCCGTCCCTGGAACAGCCTGGCGGTTTCAGGAGGTGACTGGACGAGGTGCCAGGTAACCTCCTCTGGGCTCGCTTCCCAAAAATGTCTGCACCAGCTGATCTGCCAAGGTCCCTTCCAACCTGGGCTGTTCTCTGATCCTGTGATTCTAATTACCTAGTTATGCTAATGTTAACTGGGTAATTAACAACACTCTGATATCTGATCAGCAGTTAAGAGACTGCATCAGAACCTTCTTGAAAACTGCCAGGAGAAGCAAGACTTTAATGTCTGAAGATGATTAAAAAATCAGCTGCTGGTAATAAAGTTGACACAGGGTGATAAATTTACCCTGTGTCTCTGAGTACAGAAACACCTTCACTGGTGGAAGCTCAGAACACCTGGCTGGTTCCTTTCTCTTAAATTTTTTCCTCCCAGTGTTCCTCTGACTGCCTCCAGCTCCCACCCCATGCAGAGCAACACGTTGGTGTTTCTGCTGTGCTATTCCAGGAGCTGTCCTGGGAGTTTATCTTATCTGCAGGGCAGGAATGACGCTTCCCTGTGTGCTCAGGGCTGGCCTGTCAGGCAGACAATGATGCTCAGGCTCTCACTTCAGGAAGCTGGAGCGATGCAATTTTTGTAGCTCAGTGCTGGAGTATTTTGGGGAGCAGAGCACATGAGACTGAGCTCAGCCTCTTGTGTTTCCTCCAAGCACAGCCTGAGGCTGGCATAAGCAGCAATAAAATCAATCAACCAGTGCTCCCAAGTTGTCCCAAAAATATTCTGTGCTTAGCTGCATTTTGGGTCACTGGTATTTTCTAGGCAGCTTAAGCAAGTGGGGAGCAAGCTGGCTGCTGTGAGCTGGCAGAGATGTACAGAGGCAGATTTATCCCTGAAGAGACCTCAAAGCCCATCCACTGTCACCCCTGCCATGGCAGGGACACCCTCCACTGTCCCAGGCTGCTCCCAGCCCTGTCCAGCCTGGCCTTGGACACTTGCAGGGATGCAGCAGCAGCCACAGCTGCTCTGGGAAATGTGTGTCAGGGCCTCACGGGGATCAATTCCTTCCCAGTACCCCATCTAACCCTGCCCTCTGGCAGTTTGGAGCCATTCCCCTTTGTCTGTCACTGTGTGCCTGCAGAAAAGTCCCTTGCCCTGAGATGTTCCATTTGGAACGTGGTGTCCTGCTCACGGTGCCGCCGAGAGCCGCAGAGCTGGGTGGCCTCACCCAGCCCCTGGGAAGCCGTGCCTCAGCAGCTCTGTCCCCGTGTTTGTCCCAGCGGCTGCCCGGGGCTCTCACGAGGTCCCTGCTCCTCTCACAGACGGCTGAACTGCGCCTGGCCCAGGGGCCAGACTAAGGCAAACAGAGGGGCAGCGGCACCGCGGCCACGCGCCAGCCCCGGGCAGGGTCAGCCCAAGGGACAGGGACAGCACCGAGCTGCTCCGCCAGCAGCCTGCTGCTACCCTGCCCTGCCATCCCCTGCCCCATCCCGACCCTGCCCTGCCATCCCCTGCCCCATCCCGACCCTGCCCTGCCATCCCCTGCCCTATCTCGACCCTGCCCTGCCATCCTGTGACTGTGCCCACCCATCCCAAACCTTCCCACCCATCCCAACCCTGCCCTGCCATCCCCTACCCCACCCCGACCCTGCCCTGCCATCCTGTGACTGTGCCCACCCATCCCAAACCTTCCCACCCATCCCAACCCTGCCTTGCCAACCTCGGATGCAGGCACCATTCCTGGCTGGGATGGCTCTTGCCAGCCCTGTGGCAGTGGGAGTTTAACCCATGGGCATTTCAGAATCTGAACAAGGGGCTTGAGAAGTTTTCACTCATTTATTTCTATTCTCCTTTGGGCAATTATTAGAAGTGGCAACACAGCAACATTTTGTGTTTCTTTCCTCACATCTCTGTGGCGTCTTCTCACCCTTGGGGAATTGAGGGCATGGAAAGGACCAGCTCAGTTATACTCTGTTGTTTTGGTTTTTTTTTCCCCAGTTTCTTGCACAGAGCAGTTTGCTGCCTGACAGGGACAGTCTGATGCTATTAGTGACCCAGAAGGACAGACAACAATTCCGATCTATCATCACAAAGTACCAGACTTCCCCAGCCAACAAAGCTGAGAGGATGACTTACAGAAGGCTCTGCTGCTCTTCCAAATCCTGTGCTTCATGGAAGAAGTCAGGGCTCCTAGTGCTTGTCCTCCTTTGTGTTCTACACTAGTGCCTGATGGAACAGCAGAAATTAGAACTGAGATGAACGAGGAAGGACTCCATGGGAAAAACAACTGAGAAATGCCCAGCCAAATAAAAAAGAAACTTTTAAAGTTCAGCTACTTGTCTGTCATGATTTACTGTCCCATTTTCTTCTCTTAAGATCCAAGAAGGTGAAATAATGAAAATTTTGCTTCCTCCTCCCAGAGAAGCAAAATAAGTAGGGCAGAGGAAGGTGTGTAAGAACCATCCTATGATGAGAAGGATAAAATAGTGTTGTACACTGTGCTGGAAAGGTTTTTCTTTTAATCCCAATGAAATTTGGGCTAAGGGGTAATCATCTGACATCACAGCATTATCTTAATCTAAGTCACTTGCCCTCCACGCTGGCACTTGTGCCTTCATATTAAGCAATCAGAGAAATAGAGCCCGTGGCATCCAGATTTGTATTTACAATTTAGCTAAAACAGTTCATTATACACTTATTAAAGTATTTACTTGAATTCAGTATTCCAAAACCTGCACATGGCGACACAAGTTGGAATTCTCTGCATCACTCTGCAATCTCTGATGTCTTGACCCAACAGATGTGGGTACCAGACAGAACCACAGTGTGGTTTGGGTTGGAAAGGCTCTTGCAGCTCCCCCCCACCCTCCACTAGCCCAGGTTGCTCCAAGCCCCATCCAACGAGACCCACAAGATCCCACAGGTGAGGAGCCATGAGACACTGGGACAAGCACAGGTGTGTAGGCAGAGGGGAGAGGAGATGAGGTGCCAGCTGTGCTCACCCTTTCCTCTGCAGCTGCTGCAATCTCACTCCACAATGGAAAAACTGCAGTTTCCTCTTGATGACAATGAGCCCCTCCACCCCCATGGGAGCTGCTGGCACTTTTGGAAGCCTGATGCTGAGTGACACAGCTTGGGGCAGAGATGGCTCATCCATGAAACCACAGTCTGCACATGGAGCTCCCCAGCTCCAGACAAGCCCTGAGCAGCCTTTTCCATTATCGACCTAGAGATGATTATCTTTGACACCTTGCAAGAGCTCTGGGAGTTATCACACATTTTGCATTCCCAAACCCAGCTGGAAAGTGTTACACCTGCTTTTTGAGCACTGTGTGCCTGGAAATAAAGGTTAAGCAACTTCCTTATAGTTCTTTCACGTACCAAGAGTGAGAAACAAATCAAAAGTACAGCTCTCTGCTCCAAATCAGCTTGGTAAGACAACCCTTACCCCTGGTTGGCTAACTCAGAGCTATAGAAGTTAAATTAGGCTTTGGGCCACCCCCCTTTTGCTTACAAATAGACCATGGAGTTCTGGTAACATCTTAGGAGGAATTTAAAAAAAGGAACAGCTGGCACAAGAGGTCAGCACAGCTGACCAGACAAAGTACAAGTGGAAGGGGAGTAAATCATTAGCTCGAGATAGGCCTTGAACCAGATCACTGCAGCAGATGTAGACTTAGCAATTCTCCCTTGCTCCAAGGTGAACTTTGCTCCTGTAATAACTGGCAGGTGATGCAACGATAAGAGAATGAAGTCTATAAAAATGTGGCTGACAGCCTGGGAAGTCCCGACTGGAGCTCTTTGTGCCTCCTCTGCCCACGGCTGCTCCAAGTGACAGCTCCCTCTGGGAAGATGCACTGGTGGAAAGTGATGGCAGCCCTTCTGCTCTGCTCACTGCTGCTCAGCCAGGTAAACTGAGATAATACTGAAATAAACTATTTAAAGGGCTAATTCAAAGGACAGGCAGTCCATACAAGCCGTTGTGATTTGGACGGACAACTGGCAGGAGTTAAGAGGTGACAGCAGGGCTTTTTACAGGATTCAACATCATAAAAATGTAAGAGTTACTACCTAGTGAATCCTGGGCCACTCTGGGCCATAGCTCAGCCAGTGATTCTGCCTTCACTCCCAAGAAGATTAAAACCATCATTAATTTGGGTAGGTATTTCTTCGGGGTTGGGCTGCAAGCCGTGCTTTACCCAACGGGTGCTGCGATCTGAAAACCAGAAAGATTTCAAGCGCTTCACTTACAATGAAGACTGCTGGCCTCAGCAGCAGCAGAAGGGAGCCTGCAGCTGCCACGTGTGCTGACAGTCCCCCTGCTCTGTTCCAGAGCCACGGCGTGTCCCTGTCCCCAAGGCAGCCCCGCAGCCCCCGGCAGCGGCGCATGACGCCCTTCTGGAGAGGGGTGTCCCTGAGACCCATCGGAGCCTCGTGCAGAGACAACAGCGAGTGCCTCACCATGCTCTGCAGGTAACCACGCTCAGCTCCCCACCTGGGCTCTCCAAACGGGCCCCAGAGGTCACTCCGGGCATACAAAAGATGCCAGGAATAGA